CAGCGCAGAGCTGCGGGGGGCGGCCCGGGAGCCCCAAGCAGTGATGTTAGGATTTTACGTGCTAACAGGCCATAGTTTGTGCAAAATCCCGCGGAACTGGTACACAGCTCTTGCTTGATTCATGTCTTGAGTTGCAGAAAAGGGTCTCTTTTTGGGTCTCAAAGTGTGAAATGAAATGCAACTTTAATACGATTAAGTCAAGTACTGTTAAACAACTCTCATAGGGTCTAAAGCATATTTCATCTGTTTCTTTTGTGTTTTTTTCTCAGATACTGACCACAGTATGGCCCAGTCAGCAGATGAAATGTCACTGCAGGTGGTATCAGCCGTCAGTAATTCGTCCTTGCTTCAGCCGGGCTTCTCTCTCCTGAATTTTGACGGGCATGTTTTCTTTTTTGGGCAGAAAGGATGGCCAAAGAGATCCTGTCCCACTGGTGTTTTCCTCCTCGATACAAAGCAGAATGAGCTCAAAATGAAACCTGCCTTCTTCTCTAAAGACTCATGTTACCTCCCCCCTCTCCGCTACCCTGCTCTTTGCACGCTCAGAGGCAATGCGGAGTCTGATGAGTACCAGTATATCATCCATGGTGGTAAAACACCTAACAATGACCTTTCTGATAAGATTTACATTATGAGTCTGGTAAGCAAAAATAGCAAGAAAATCACGTTCCAATGCGTTGAGAAAGACCTGGCTGGAGATGTCCCTGAAGCTAGATATGGGCATACAATTAACATAGTTCATAGCCGGGGAAAAAGCATGAGCGTTATATTTGGAGGGAGAGCATATACTCCTCTTGCACAAAGAACCACTGAAAAATGGAACAGTGTAGTTGACTGTTTGCCATCTATCTTTCTCGTTGATTTTGAGTTTGGATGCTGTACGTCATACATACTTCCAGAGCTTCAAGATGGACTTTCTTTCCACGTTTCAGTTGCCAGAAATGATACAATCTACATTTTGGGAGGCCATTCACTTCAAAATAACACCAGGTCCCCCAGCCTGTACAGGCTAAAAGTTGATCTCCCACTGGGCAGCCCAGCCGTGACCTGCACCATCTTGCCAGGGGGGATATCTGTGTCAAGTGCTATAGTGACTCAAACTGGTGATACCGAATTTGTCCTTGTCGGGGGCTACCAGTCTGACAATCAGAAACGGTTGGTGTGTAACACCATAGTTCTGGAAGATAATAAGATAGAGATTGTTGAAAGGGCAAGCCCGGACTGGACACCAGATATTAAACACTGCAGGATGTGGTTTGGCTGTGATATGGGCAAAGGATCTGTATTGCTGGGCATTCCAGGGGCCAACAAACAGTTAATCTCAGATGCAAACTACTTCTACATTTTGAGATGCAAAGGAGCAGAAGAGGACAAGGAGGAAGAACTGACAGCACAAACTTGCAGTCAGACATCGACCGAAGACCCTGGAGACTCCACTCCATTTGAAGATTCGGAAGAGTTTTGTTTTAGTGCTGAAGCCAATAGCTTTGATGTTGATGATACTGACACTTACAATGAAGATGATGAAGAAGATGAATCAGAAACAGGCTACTGGATCACCTGCTCTGCCAGTTGCAATATTGACATTAACACCTGGGTCCCTTTCTATTCGACAGAACTCAACAAGCCTGCAATGATCCTGTGTTCCAGCGGGGCTGGCCACTGGGTCCACGCACAATGTATGGATCTCTCAGAGAGCATGCTCCTACATCTTTCAGAAGCAAATGTCAAGTACTTCTGCAACGAGCATGTTGACCTCAATAAAGGGCTACAAACTCCCAAAAAGGTGGTGCACCTGAAAAAGCAACCCATGAAACCATTGCGCAAAAAGACAACCATGAAGTTAACAACGCCCACGAAAAAGTCCTTTCTTCGGAGATTGTTTGAATAGATTTACACTGCTGATTTGTATTCACCTGGGAGGAATTGAAATCACAGTCAAAGACAGCTAGTAATGGTTGAAGCAGAATCGGTTATTGGAGCTCGAAGAGATCTTTCTATTTAATTGATTTCAATTATCTCAATATTTCAGTTACATTTCAAAGCTCATGAATTTATTTTGTCTCTTATGTGTATTTTTATAATATCCGGATAGGAACCCCATCATAGAGGGCACTGTGCAAACACACAGCCAGATACTGGTAACTGTGCTGTATTTTATGCTATAACTTACTCCCCAGTGAGTTTAATGGAACTGCCAGTAGTATAAGACTACTTATACATATTATCCCATGTACTCAGTGGTGTTAGCATCTGTCCATAAAGAACATTATAGTACCCATTTTAATTTTTTATCTTAGTGAGTAGTTCTAGAAATATTTGGTCTAATTTATAACTGCATTACTCCAATTTTATGTTGGTGTAATGAAATAAAATTAGACTAATTACTCTGGTTTTAAACTAAAGTGGTGGCTTAAGTCCCTTGTGTCAGAAATAATGAAATATTCAGACACTGAAGGTCAGTTTTCTTCAGGGACTTCCATTATGGAAAGCTTAATATGGAGCATTTAATTCTGGATAATTAATTTTTGATTTTGAGAGGTACTGAATTATTATATGTCAGTTTTGGCTACAGTTGTGGATATCATCTCATAGTAAAAATCAAATTGCTTTTTTAAACCACTGTGCTCAACAACTGCCTTGTGTTTGTATTTTTAAAAATCTAGTAAGCTAATAAAGTTTATAATAAAAATGACTGCATTTTTTTCACCTACTCTTGGGGTAAATCAAACACTGTAAATCCCAAAGCCTACAAAAGGACAGCGTGTGTGCTTGGGAGGTCCATCTGAAGTCTGATAAGGGGTCTAGTTTCACAGCCACCCCATGCTGTGAGCTCCCATTGACTTCAGAAGAAGTTCCTTCTGATGAACAGGACTTTTATCATTTACTCCAGGTCCTCCACTACGCATTTCTTTCTCTGCTCTCCCAGTGTGACTGTGTAGAGTGTGAAAGCTTAAAAGTGCAAGCTGTAGCTCAGAGTTGACTCACTGAGCCAGTGGAGCATTGTGAGGGTGGAAACAAATGTAGCTGGCTACTCAAAGCACGAGAAGATTGGATTCAGATTGAAAAGGACATTGTCAAGGTTGAATAGCCCAAGAGTTTACTAACTTTTTTGTGGATTCTTTTATTGGCTATTTGTAAAGCCTCATCATTCTTGACTTCATTTTTTATTTTTATTACTGCTCCAAACATCTTTTCAAAAAATCAATACTGTCAGCTCAACATTTGTGAGCCAACAATAATAGCTGAGTACTCAGTCCAGCTCTCGTGCTGGACCCCTGAATAAAAAAGAAAAACAGGAGCAGCTGTCAGCCATTTGATCGCTGTGTGCAGACCCTGAGCAGCCACTCCTTCACAAAGCAGCACGTGTAGCACAGTATTCCTATGAACACAGACGTGTATGCACAGTACTCCCCTTAAAACCTTCACAACTCAAGTCAACACCAGAGGAAAGTAAAAGGCAACCATACAAAGTTTCCGTTTCCAACCTTTTCACGTGCTGAGGGAAGTTATAGTTTGGGTAGAGCTTGTAAATGGGATGTATATCACCCTGACTCCCCTCTCACCAGTTTGATATTGGTATAAATTCATAGATTTCAATGCCAGCTTCCTGTTTCCTTTTTCATGCTACTTTACCTACGTTCAGAGTATATAGTGCTATATGTTTTTCCACGGGATAAATTAATATCATGCCCATGTAAAGTCCCTTTAAACTGGTGAAATTCAATAGTCAACATCGCCTTTTGTAGGTTAGTCATAGGTCTTACTTAGCTGAATTGTCATTAAAATATACATTCATCACGCACTCTTCATAGATTTCATTTATATCAACAAAAAAAAATCCACACCAAAATTAAAGCCACATCATCACAACACCAACAAGGGGGGACAATATACTCACACAACAAAACTCCACCCTTCGTCCCTTCACCATTTTACAACAACAAAAGACTCCCCGCAATTATTGAAATGTCCAGTCTGAGTTTTTGCCTGTTACCTCTCCCAATTACTGTCATTATCTCAAATTCCTCAGACCCCGCATTGTGTGACAAATTTGTCTGCTAGTACAGACAAAGAAAAGGATGGAAACATTTTCCACAGGGAAAGCTCGACACTAGCCTAGCAGAAGTGACGTTCAGCCTGAGATAAAGCCTGGTGGTTCAGGCACTGGTGGTGTGGTTGCAGTATGTTGGGAGCATATCTTGAGTTTCCAGAACTGACTCCTGCAGCTGCAGTGACTCCCTGAGCCCCTGGGAGCCAAGAGCAGGTATGCTCATCATGTGGCAAGCACAAGCAGACATTGCAGCCCCTTCCAATTCTTACCTGAATTGTTGTTCTTTACTTTAAAGTTGTGGCTATGAAAAAAGCAATTCACAGTCAGACTTTACGCTATTGCTCATCAGGCCCATAATGTTAGTGTATTGTATGTTTGATCTGTGCTTTTGTTAAATGTATGGTTTATTTGAGTAGGAGGGAGAAATTGCTTGGTCAAACCATGTCCCCGCCTCACAGTGAAGGGCAGTACAAGCAGCATTAAATCACAGCTCGGACACTGTAGTCACTGCAGGAAGAGGAAGTCAAAGTAAAATATAATATTCCAAAGGACTCGAACATAAAGAGATATATGAACATTAGCCTGTAAAGAAGACACTTGACATAGCATTCAAGACTGCAGAAAGTACTTAATTCCCTGATAATTCTGATTACACTTTTGAGTCATGTACTTGTTAGACCATTGATTGTCTTCAGAACCAGCTAATCAATACAAGATGTTTTTTCCTCAGGCAGGTTAGAATTAGAAGATAAAATTAAGTAGATTTGAGTGCAGAAGTAAATCTCTATTGTATCTGCATCCAACTGACCTATGTGTTTTGTAACCACAACAAGCAGCATCATGGTTCCCAGCCACATTTTAGTGACACTATGTTGTTATTATCAGCTTTTACAAGAATAATAGATGGATTTTACTGCTATTGAAAGGTGCTCGGACCCTGAAGTACCTGATTAATCTACAGGAAGGGCACAGCACAAACTTTAGTGGTAGCACTAAAGCATGTGTCATAGTTCGGAGTGACTCATTGCACCAATAGACCATTGAAAGGAGTGGAAATAACGCAATTGGGAGCCTAAAGCAAAGGGGAAAGATTGAATTCAGATTGAAAAGGAATCTGAAAGTTATTTACTGCTAGACCCAATGTATTAAAGATAGAAGGACTGGCTTACTTCTTTTTTTTCATGATTAGTGGCTATAGCTCCCTCCATATTTGATTTCCTACCCTATCCCATTTCAAACAAGACTAATTTCTGGGAAGGGCTTGAGCAACAGCTTCTGAAAACCAAACTCCAATTTGGTGTCTCTACTTGACCTTTGAAAACTGTGACACTGGAGCCCATTTTTTCTTTAAAAAAAGCAAGACCATAACCTTATAAACCTTCTGATTTCTCAATGCATACACATATACGGGAAGAACAGGACACTGGCCACTACCACAGGTGTGCAGGACCTCCTTCAGGTGGTAGTTATTGTGTATTCCCTTGTCCGCTGGCTCAGAATGCCCATCTTCAGAGGAAGAGCTGAGCATTGAAAATGCACCTCTTGACCTCTCTCACAATGCTGCTAGAAAAGGTGCTAATTAAATCCTTTCTAATGTGTCTTTTTGTATTATGGACAATATTAAGCTTGATGCGGAAGGTAGAAAAGCTCCCACACTTAGGAGTTGCAGCTGGTCAGCTATTTGAAAATTATGCCATATTCAGTCACCTGAAACAGTACTCTGAAGAAGAGCGGTGATAGGCCTCATTATTCTTCATCTGATCCTGATTCTGATAGGAATACATGGAAAGTAAAATTCATTCAGTTGTTACAGATTCAGGAATAAAGGAGTTAAATCATCCTAATTTACCAGGAAACTCTCTGAGGTTTCTTTTTTGTTTTATATGGGTTCTGTTTTTTCCACCCAGAGTTTTTTATTCAAGGTCAGCTGAAAGAACTAAGTTGGTGATATAAAGTCCAGCAATTAGATGTCTAATTACTTGATTGCACAAGGAAATCAGGTAGCTTAATTTGTTCATCATTAATTCCATCCAAACCAGTTGGTTTACGTAAGTCTTTTGACCCTGAGATATCATTGCAGGGAAGAAAGAAATATTTTCTGAAGTGGAATAAAGGGAAGCTACAAATCATTAACTAAAAGGTAGATTGGAACTAATCTTTGCAGCTCAGTCTATGACGAGGAGCCAAAATTTGAGGCAAAGGATGCACAGAAGCCAGTAAAGAGGCTTAACATATTAGCATAGACATAACAGTGCAAGGCTAATTTTAAACAAACAGTGGGATGGTATTTGTAAATGAAGCAAAAGTCATTTACAGACTAAATAAAACTGTTTTTAAATTAGTTAGTTTTCTGTCAAACAGTTGCCTGTCAGGAAAGGTGCTGAAAGGACTGCTGAGACTCACAGAGTAATCTTCATTCGTGTTAATTTAGTGACTTCCAGAACAGGGCTGGAATCACAGCTGTTTCTGTGTATTAGAACAGCCTGAATATGAAAATCATCCACAATTTGAATGAAAAGTAAGACTGATACCATGAAATTATGTGCATAGTTAAAAAAATGGTAAGAAATACAAAGCCAGAAACTTAAATATTTGTAAGACCTTTATTTTAAACAGGTTTCATGAATTAAGAAACTGTAATACAGTAAGAAAAAGTAAAATTATGAAGCCATGTGGTGAGACAAAGCACAGAACTTAGTGTAGTCAGAAATTAGGGTGCTGTAAATATCTAGAACTTGTTTCTGAGCTACCTGACTAAAACTTAAAGCTGGTTTGCTTCAAGTCAATAGAATTATTCCTGTGAGGAAAAAAATATGAGAGACCAGAATCATGGCTTCTAACATAGTTCACATCATTTCATAACATGGCAATTCACAATACCAAGCCCTTGAATAAAAACAAACAAAACAAGATACATAATGTGACTGTATAAAAACTACAGTCAATACAATTTCAGAACAAGAAAATTATTTACCATGAATTACTGAAGGATTTTTACCACATATTAACATAAAAAAGAAAATATGAAAGTTTGAAAGAGTACCATGAATAAAAGTGTCT